TTCCTGCTGCTCTGTTGAGGATAGATGTTGTAGGTCATGAGTATAAGCTGACAGACCTGTTTGGAGCCTATTGCAATAACTTGGTCAATAATCCAGTCAGGAGGTGACAGTGGCTTGGATTGGGGTGATTGTGATAGATGTGGTAGAAGTGCTCAAACCCTGGGTGTGTTTTAAAGGTAAAGCCAGCAGGGTTTGCTGACAAACTTTCTGTATATGAGGCTTAGAGGTGTCAAGAATTACTGCCAGTGTTTGGCCTGAGCAACTGAAAGAATGGAGTTTTGGTTAATTAAAATGGGGAATGCCCCAGGAGGAGCAGGTTGGGGTGGGGAAGGCATGTGAGGTATATCAGGAGCCCAGTTTTAGACATGTTAAGTTTGAGATATGAAACATCTGAGTGGAGATACCCAATTTTAGGGTGTACAAGTCTGGAAATTGGGGGTGGGGGTGAATTAGAGGTATAAATTAGAGAGTTGTCAGCAATATCAAGGATATTCAAATCTGTGAGACTAGATGAAATTACCAAGGGAGTTAAGTACAGGTAGAGAAAAACAGAGAACCAAGGGCTGAGCCCTGAAGTACTCCAACAAAGAGTTGAGGAGCCAGCTAAGGAGGATGGTAAGGAATGAGCACTGAGGTAAGATATAAACCAAGTGTGGCCTTGGAATAAGCTGTAAAAAGTGAGGGGGGTGGTCCACTGTGACCACTAGATAGGTCAAGTGAAAGAGAACTGCTAGTGGACCATTGGATTTTGAACATTGCTGACCTTGACGAGTTATAGTGGAACAGTAGGAGCAAAAGCTTGTTTGTTAATGTAAGGGAATGGAAGGAGAGAAGCTGTGACAGTAAGTTTAGATAAGTCTTTCAAGGAGTTCTAGTGTAAAGAGAAACAGAAATGAAGCACTAGCCAGAGCAAAAAGTGGAGTCCAGCACAGTTTTGGTTTTTTTTTTAAGACAGGAGAAATAAGAGCATGATTGTAATCTGATAAGAATGACACAGTAAATGGAGAAAATATAATATTAGAAAGAAAGGGAAGAATTGGTAGTGTGATGTCCTTGAGAGGAGATTTTGTACACAGGTGGAAAAATTAGCCTTAAAAAAATTAATCTTAAGAGCATAGATAGCTCATCTGTAGTAGGAGGAGAGATGACCAAAGCATGGAAGTTTCCTGATTGTTTTTTTCTCCTCTCAGTTAAAAAAGAAAACAGCTTATCAGCTGATTATAAAGGTTAGGGGAGAAATGCTGGAATTTTGAGGATGGATGAAGGGGTATGAAATAGTCATCAGCAGAATGTTAAAAGTGGGTAGACTAGAGAAATGTAGTGTAGTTGCCAGGCAGCATTGTGGACCCACTTTAGGTTCCTGCTCATTCATTGAGTGTGAGACCAGACAACATGGTTTTGTAGTTTTTTACTGTCATAGTACATACATGGATACTGAGTAGATAATTGAGAGATTTTTAGCAAACGAGTAGTATGAAGTAAAGGGCATAGGATATGAAGGCATGTGCAAGGAGGTGATTATAATAATTTACCTTGGACACGAAGGGCGTGTTGGTAGGATGATAGATGGTAGGTCTGTGGAGGATTATAGATCCAGGATAGGCTTGTTGAGATGAGAGTACTAGGGGAAACAAGATGATGGTCAGAGAATGGGATGTTGGAAATTGATTATTGTAAAGGTTATAGTTTTTGGAATAGATATGGTCTAGATGAGGCATTGGGAGTGGGTGGCTGAACTAGGGTCAGTCACAGAATCACTGGAAGAGAAGAGCTCACGGGTCTGACAGGCCAAAGTGTTCAAATAATTGTCTGCATGGCTATTAGAACCACCAAGAATTAAGATCCACTGTTAGTGAGCCAGGAGCTAAAATCCAGAAATAAAGGGAAAAGAATGAGACGCCTGTAGATGATTGCAACAAGAGATGGTAGGTAGTATATAGTTGAATAACATGAAATTCAAAGATTAGGTAGGATTGGTTCGGGAAAGGAGTATAGGAATAGTAATGAGGAACGTGCAACTCCTTCAACATCCACCTCTAGGCTCAATGATAAAGGGAGTGTGGGAGATTAAACACAAGCATTAGGAGGTGAATGGAAGGGTTAGAGAAGAGGTTAAGGGTAAAGGGAATTTTGCTGCTGGCTGACTGATTTCCAGATGGCACAGGAGTCATAAAGAAGAAAACTATTTTATGAAGGGATTAATTTCACCTACCCTACCAGATGAAGCATTTTATATTTTAACTAATGGATTTATTTAAACTTAAATATGAATTTTCATAGGATTTTTTTCAACCTTAGAAGTGGTTGGATTAGAATGATTATAGGCCAGCCATCTTATGCTCTTTTCCATTGAGTGTTATTGGAGAAACAGTAGGCTTACAATAAATTGAAAATTATCTTTAAACTATTTATAAGCACATTGATCACAGGGATTTCACTAATTCCTAATAAAACTTTTATTTTTCCCCTAAAAAATAGAAGACAAAATGAACTTGTGACATTTTCCATATTCTCACATTGAGTCTTCATTATGTTCATTATCAGTCATAACATATTATTTGAATGTCCATCTCCTCACTTATCTACATGTCCATAAAGGAATGGCATTGTTTCATGTTTATATCTCAGCTTGTGGTAGTGATGTTGGACATGTAGATACTCAATAAATACTTGAATGAACAGGAAAATGTGATTGGATCGATTTTTTGAAAAAGAGTTCAGTTACTCAAATATTTCTCAAAGAATTAACTTGAGAAAACTTCACTCTTATAGTAGTACCTAACATTTAAGTAAGTCTTTCTTTGGTATTTTTATTTAACAATTCATAAAGGGAGGAAAAGATTAATGGAACATACTTATAGAAGGTTGTTGGAAATATCATAAACTCATTTTTCTGGAAAAAGAAAAACATTGTGTTTTTTAAAAACTTTTCAAAGTTTATACTTGTAAAGATGGCTTTGAAACAAACTTTCGAGGATTTTATATTTAAAAACAACCTGCATTTTCTCTAGTGTAATTGACCCTAGAGGGGTGAGCTGGATAGCATACTTTGTCATTAAAATATTAGCATCCTCAAATCTTTAGCCAAAGTGAAGGTTGGTAGAAGGTAAACACTGCCCCCAAGTGGTGGTATACAGGAACTTTGGTCACTTGCAAATAGATAATTGGCCATTTTCTTTTCAACAGTTTTCCATCTATTTATCATTGTAACAACAACCAGACTTCTGTGGCACCTATACCATCTGCTTCATCAAACGTGATTGGTTCTTCTGCCTTGACTTCAACAAGTGGCCTAGTAATCACCTCTCCTTCCAACCTCACTGACCTTAAGGAGTGCAGTGGCAGCAGGAAGGCCAGGGTTCTGTATGATTATGATGCTGCAAACAGTACTGAATTATCACTTCTGGCAGATGAGGTGAGTAATGTGGGTATAAAAGGAAAACTATATCATAGATTGACTCACCTTCCAGTATAACAAAATGCAAATTCCTCATTACTTATTTGGAAATAGTTTATTATGAATGTTTTCATAGATTACAGCTGGTTATATTAACATTTTTTAACTACTATTTTTTAACAAAATAGAACATCACAGAAATATTTAAAGCTTTTAACTGCTAAATCACTAGATTTCTAAAACTGTCTCTAATAAAATCCTTTATCTTTCACCGAATTGATAATAATGTTTAAATTCTTTGATAGTGAATAATTTATACTTTAAACAAATTAAGTCTGATTAGTTTTCTGTGTGTTTATTAACATAGTTAATAACTGGAAATGTTTTATTTTGTAGGTAATCACTGTTTTCAGTGTCATTGGAATGGATTCAGACTGGCTAATGGGGGAAAGGGGAAACCAGAAGGGCAGGGTGCCAATTACCTACTTAGAACTGCTCAATTAAATAGGTGGACTATGAAAAGGTACACCATATTTATATACAATTAACTCTTAATAAAGCAGGTTTAAGTATCTTTCATGTTATTAAGAGACTGAAAAGAAAATACTAGCCATCAGAAACTGGCCTTTCTGCCAATAAAATTGCATGGTAAATATTTCATTACAGAATTTATGTTAAAGCTTTCATGCCAAGAATGTTTTCTTACAAAATTCTCTTTCTACTGAGGTTTCACTAATAAGTAGCTTCTACTTTTGAGCCCCAACTTAAAGCATAACTGTTTTCTACTGAATTTTTCATTAATGGCAAGCTTTTTCTTTTAAGTAAAATAAATTTATTGTGAATTGATACGTGACTCATTTATTAGGTATAATTAATAGCCAAAGAATAAAGTTAAAATTTGTTTTTAACTGTTGGTTTAAAAAGATCTCTAGGATGTAAACCTCTTTTGTAAAAAATATAATGTTTCTGAATGTTTTCATAAACATAAATGCAGTTATACCATGTTTACCTTGTTTTCCAGCAGACATGGAATGATTACAATATTCTAGTTCAGTGAGTTATTTTGAGGGTTTTTTGTTTTATTAAACACTACTGAATGATTTCTTTTAAGAGTAGCTAGTCCTTGAGAAGTACTACCGTATTTCTCTAGTACATTTGCTTTTAAGGTTCTGAAACATCTGGGACAAATTCAGTTCACTAAATAATGTTTTTAAGATTGTTCAATTGGTACTGTTTAATCCATAATCAGAATTGGATCTGTTAGGAAGATATTGCAGTAAAGAGAATTTGTTCTTATTGAAAAACAAATCCTTATAAAAATGGATTAGCACAACTGTGTTCATTATAGAGTAAATTGTATGCAAACAGAATACACTTTTGGTTACTTTGAGCCTACAAATAAAATGTTGAAAATTTACTAATGAACTTAGGTTATCTTGATCAGGCTCTCTAGTTATGAAACACATACTAATGAAATGATTAGTGATATACGTGGAATTAGAAAATTGCTTTTTAGACCACTGCTATGAATCAGCAGATTATTTCCATGTCAGGACTTATGCTCTCATTTTCATTCATTCATTCCTTTGTCAAACATTTGTTGGGGGCCATGCACTATGCTGATCAACTGGGAATACGACCCTGAACAAGATGCACACAGTTCTTCCCCCTACAGATCTTAAAGACTGGTGGTGGATACAGAAAAATAAGTAAGCAATGGTCATATAACAGAATCGGTGTCATGATAGAAGAAATATAGGGTTAGTATGTTTCAGAGTTTTGGGAGTCACCTAATTCAGATTTGGGGCGTGGGAGATGGTTTGGAGAGGAAGTGTTCTAGCAGAGGAAGAAGTTGTGGCAGGCCTGGAGCTAAGAGAATGTAGCACATTCTTAAAGCTAAAAGCAGTTCAGTCTGGCTTATGCATGAAGTGTAAAGGTGTAGTTAATTTCTTCAGGAAGTGTTAATGTGTCAAAATGGTGTTTCTCTGGTACTTTAAAAAATGAACATTTAGCACAAAAGGATATTTTTAAATGGTGTTTAAGAGTTCCCAATAAGAGCTTGGTAAACATGTTAGTAATTTAATTTACAGTTCAAATTTTAACAGTAGTTGTTACATTTCTGTGCTGTGAGACAAATTCCTCTGCAGTTTTATAGTTATACAAGATGCTTTGATTCACACTGTGAATTGCCATACTGTTAACCCCCAAAGCTGCTCAAGCTGGTTAGTTAGCTTAGAACCACTTGAGTGAAGCTTTTTCCCCTAGAAATGAAGCTCTGTGGCCAGCCTAGAGTACCATCTATTATGTTATATAAATCAAGATTTAGGCTTTAAAAGATCATACAAAAAAATCAGGTCAACTTTAATAGCAACTATAAATTAGGTTTATGAGAAGTAGAGTAGTAAAAGGGAAAGAGTATGGGTACTGGAGTGAAATTGTCCTGGATTCAAATCCAGTCTTCCTCACATACTGTGCTCTTTGAGCTTCGACTTAGATGTCTTATAAACTGCCATTTCCTTGTTAGCAAAATGGGGATAATAATTATGCCACTTTAAGGTTATTGTGAGGATTTTATAGCAAAAAATAGTGTTAAAAGCAGTTATAAAATAACTATAAAATCTGTAACTATAGATTTCTAACTATCTTGTACGTTAGATAATTTTTAGGGAAAGCTTGGCACAGTAGAAACAGCTGTGAATATGTTTCCCCTTGTTAGCCCCTGTAGCTTCCTGACCTGTCCAGACGGTTGGCCTTGTTTATGACTATGTACCAGACAGACATCTTCTGTTGCAATGCTCTGTTCTACTCCTTATCAGTTCTATCCTCCACCCTCTTTAAATGAGACCCAGATCTAGGTTTAACCTCACCATAGTCAGTGTACATTTTTATCAGAACCTTCTGCTTTCCATCAAATGAATGTTGATTATAGTAACCCAATAATGTACAGTAGCCTTCAGTAATGTGAGGGTTCAAAGGTTATTTTGTGCCTTTGTCCACCACAAATTTGCCACAATATGTGGGCTCATTCTTATGTTTATTGTTTTTTATTTTAATGGGGTTTTGTTTGATTGGTTGGTTGGGGGGGGTTTGGTTTGGTTTATTTCGGTTTGGGCTTATTTTATAAAGTCACAGGTTTAATTTTTACTCAGGTAAAGGCCCATAGGTTCTTAGGCATGGAAGAAGAGCTTTGGAAGCCTATTGATTCATGGTGCAATTCAGAATTATTTAAATAATCTGTGTCCCTGAGCTTAATCTAAAGGGATAGTAATGTGAAGGATGCATTTATGAATGAAATAGTAAACTTGGAAATAATTGTAGGCTCCTTTTGCAAACAGAAAAAAAGTGATTGGATTGTTTCTGTATTTGTCCTGAAGGTAATTAACCTAAAAGATCATTGCATTAAATTGTTTTTTATGGTGCTAATCAGAAAAATTCATATTGTAGGAGACTAGGTCCCAGAAATGGGAATGATCCTCACTCTGAGTAATGTAAGAAATAAGAAACCTGAGTCCAGGGTCACTAGTGGGTTAGAGTCCATCCTCATAGTCTGCTGTTATCCTCACCAGAACAGGAGCTGGTGTTGGGAGGACATGCAGAGGATGAAGGACCACAGGACAAAAATCAACATCTTTGTCTACCCAGAGAGGCCTGGCTTACTTTCATGCTTTGTTGACAGTATTCCTTAAAAATATCATCCCTAGCTCCCAAACACCTGAAAGTTTGAAATATGTTGCCCTAGTATGTGGCACTTCAAGTCTGGGTGAGAAGCCATAATAATAGATAGGAGACTTTGCAATTTGACCTACAGCCAGCTTTGCTTCAACCCCTTCTCCAGATGATTAAGTGGCTCTTACCTCATGGTGAGACTTAAATGGGGATCTGTCTGGTGGTTGTCCACAGCAGAACTGCCCTTTCTCCCACTTTATCCTAACGAGAAAGTCAGCTCAGCAGGGCAGTGGTTCTCAGTGTGGGACCCCCAAGACAGGCAATGTCAGCATCACGTAGGAACTTGTTAAAAATGTTAATTCGTATCTCCAAGTACCTTTTTTTGGTACTTATTTGTTGTCTTCAAGGGGCTATAAAACTAGTCTTAGTTCTTCCATGTAACATTTTAAAAAATATTTCAAGACAAAAACTGAATTCTGATCCTCTTTACTGTGTTCTAGCACTAATCATAATTACATAGTTACTTTTAATAATTTATTTGTTTAGTATGTATCTGTCACTCTAGAGTGTAGGCTCCCTGAGATTGAGACTATTAATTCTTTTGATCACAGTTAAATTCCCAACTCTTAGCAGGAGACCTAGCATATAGTATGTACTCGGTATTTGTCAAAGAAAGAAAAAATGCAATTCTTAAGTCTTATCCAAGCTCTACTGAATCAAACTCTGGGGGTAGGGCCCAGCATTCTGTTTCTACAAGCCATTTGGGTGATTGTTACACTCTCAAGTTTGAGACCCACTTCAGTAGAATAAAGAAATCGTGCCTTTTACCTTCAGATGTGCTATCTGACATCGCTTGAAAATTCTCCCTGCCTTCTGTATACCAACAACACTGCTCTCGAGTGTAGAGGAACCTTACTGGACTGTATTACAAGTGGGTGTGAAGGTATAAGGTATGCTTAGTGTAAGAAAGGGAAATATTGCTTGGAATGCCAGTACTTGGTTGCTGTGGAGGGTTTCTAGGGATGGATCCCTTAGTCTGAAGAAGGGTAAGCACTACCACCACCCACATTTCCACTCAGCACAGTCACAATTTGACATCAAAGCTCCCTGACAAACCACTAAGGTTATATCAGACTAACGTGTACACCCCGGTGCTCAGGTTGCTAACTCCACTCTCCCTACTTCAAAGAAGACTTTAAGAATTGTTAATGCTTTTTTTAATACTACAAGTCATAGATGCATTGGTAAAAAAGGGAAAAAAAGAATATGTAGTTTAAAGATAAAAATCACCTATAATTCCACCATCCAGGGAGAGCTACTGTTACTTAGGTGCATAGACTTCCAGATTCGTCTGTGCTTTTATAGATTGTTTTAAGTGGGATCAAGTTGTACATACTGTTTTGTAACTTTTTCACTTGACAATACCATGACTATCCTGCCATGTCAAAAATGTTTCTATATCTTTTTTTAATGGCTGCATGGTATTTCATCTTATGTGCCACATTTTATTAAACTACTGTTTTCAGATTGTTTCCAATTTTTTGCTAATAAACTGCTTAAAAGAATATTGTGTTGTTAAATCTTTTATGTGTTCTTAATATTTCCTTAAGGTGAATATTTGGAAGTAGAATTGCTAGTGTAAAGTATGCCAGTTTATAAAAGCTTTTGTCGCTGCCACTTTGCCCCTTAGAAAACTTATCGGCTTACACTTTATCGGCAGTATAAGAAAGTATACTATTTCTTTTTGGAGGACTTCCAACTGAATGTTCTTAAAACCTTCAGTTTAAAAATAAAGGGTAAAAGGAAGATAAAAAGACCCTGCAAAATTAAAACCAAGATCAGTCTTAAATTATTCTGACATGACATCATTTACTGTTCTACCTTCTATTATGTATTTTGTGATACTTTGGGAATGATTGTAATACTGGCTTTCCCCTTGCTTTTATTCAGTCTCCTGGAAGCACTGACTTTTCTGACTTTTGCCGAAATGGTAGGAGAACAATCCTAAACAGACTGGATAATTTTGATGCAGGCTTATTGTTGCATTTAGGGAGCATGGACATCATAGGGAAAGTAGAAACTTTGGAAGGTAGGCAGAACATTGGCTCTCCCACTTGGTTGCCTAGTTTTGTGTCAGTCAACCTCTTTGAGCCTGTTTGCCCATCTGCAGAAATGAGA